GGGCCGCAGGCCGCGCTGTGCCCGCCGGGAGCCCGACGCCAGACCCAGGGGGAGGGCGGTGGCAACAGCGGCACTTACGGTTCGCAGGGTGGCGCCCGGTGGTCCCCGGAGGGGAGGGAGAGGGAAGGAGGGGCGAGGACGTTGATCAAGGTCTTCTGGGCGGAGGCGTTTCTGCTTCGCTGCAGCAGCGCTGGCGCCAAAACCGGACTCCGCCCACTTCCTCGCTCTAGGGGTGGGTATCTCCAATTGCTGGGAGGTAGGGTGGTCACGAAACTTAGCTGGGGCCGAACCGGAGACGGCGGTGCGCCTTTCGGCCCCCGAGGGCTGGCCCCCAAAGTTATTGACCAGAGTTAGGTTGGTGGAGCGTGAAGTGTAATTTGTTGACTAGAAGTCGCTTCGGGTGTTCCCGGAAGGGGCCGAGTCCGTCCTCTGCTCCGGGGGAGGGGGTGGGGGAAGAAAAAAGTGGGGAAGCTACAAAAATTTTTACTGCGTGAAGAAGGCGAGATAAAGGGGTTATCAAAGGCACTGCAGAGGGGGCTGGACCTCTGAGCTGTGGATTATGCTCCACCCGAAAGCTTTAATTTCAAATTGCGCGACCGTTCCTCACCTGCCCTGCGCTAAGGCGGGGGGCTGGACCCAAGTCCCAGAGGGGGAAATACGCTGACTTGAGCCTTCGGCAATTCACTGATCCCTTTACGCAAGTGACGTCAAGCCCCCTGGCTGGAAAGGAGGGAGGAGTACGTACTTAGCGTAAGGAGGGCGTAGAGGGTTCCCGCCATTGGCGGCAGTTAAGACGTTCACGCAACGGCCTGACGTAAAGACGCGTTGGTGGGGGGGAAGGTTCTAGAAAAGCGGCGGCAGCGGCTCTAGCGGCAGTAGCAGCGGCGCCGGCTTGCCGTGCGGAGGTCCTTCTAGCGTTGTTGTTTCTCCAGCGGCGGCAGTTCTCACTACAGCGCCAGGACGAGTCCGGTTCGCGTTCGACCGCGGAGATCTCTCTCATCTCGCTCGGCTGCGGGAAATCGGGCTGAAGCGACTGAGTCCGCGATGGAGGTAACGGGTTTGAAATCAATGAGTTATTGGAAAGGGCATGGCGAGGCCGTTGGCGCCTCTGTGGAAGTCGGCTACCCGTCTCGAGGGAGAGCGGCATTGAAATTGGGCCACTTCAGAAGCGGTTGGTTTCGGGATATTTCTGAAGAGGGGGCGTTTGCGGAGGCCTGTTTATACGGCACTTTCCCCACCCTTCAGCCTCCCGGCGCCATTTCCCTTTGCTGGGGGTGGGGGATGGGGATCTCCCACATGGCGGACGCAGCCCCGCTTTAGTGTAAGTGAGGCGCGGAGGCGGCAATTTTTACGGCCTTCTTAAAGCAGGCTGGTTTGGGGGCCCCGGCGCCCCTGCGTGTGAGCCTTTCGGCGGCCTTCGGGTCCTCCGGAGCGAGGCTGCGGAGGTTCCCCCTCCCCCTCTCCCGGGAACCGGATTTGGCGGCCGCCATTTTCATTCCTCTCCTTCCTCGCCGCGTTTTTCTCTTTAACTGTCTGAATTCTACTGCTTCGACTCCCTTATGAAAGAATAGAAGTGGTTAACTACTTTTCTTTTTCCCCGGGCCGTTTTCATGCCCTTTTGAGGTGGATTCCGAGTGTTTTGTGAGCTTGGATCTTTAAGCCTGCGCACCTCTTTAGAGGCTCGCTCCCTTCCCCTCGATGAAATGGCGCCATTGCGTTCAGAAGGCACGGCGAAGAGCGGGCGGGAGGGGGGTGCCAGGCTGGTTCGCACCGCTTAAGAGCCTAGAGGTAAAGCGACCTCTGGGGTGTGGAGCCCAGTTTTAAGGCGACCCGGACCACAAAGAAAACATTTTGTTTTCCAACCCTTATTTCTTGGAGTAACGGTTTTTTTCTGTGTCTGCGGTGACTAAAAAGGCCATTTGTCTTGTAACCAACTTTAAAGATAAATCAGGAGCTATCTGATTAATGCCGATTATGGGTGGCAATGGAGAAGGTTATGTGGTCGGGGACGTATTAAAGAAAATTTTATTTTCCTGAAGGATTCCCTTTGAATTGCATTTTTCGTATTCTAAATACTTCTACCTGTAAAGTTACTCTTGACTGGTTAAGACCACGCATCCTTATAAATATCAGGAAGTGAAATAAAAATGACTACCCTCAGACTTTGTTTAAAACACAGCTCAGTCCTTTAATGCGTGTATTGCTGTGTCCAAGTTTTAGGCTGGGCCGCTGCTTATTTGAACTTTGTCACTTGCTTTTCTCATGTATGTTTGCAATCATGGTTGATCATTACATTGATAAGTATAAGGTCTCAAGCGAAGGGGGTTCTACCAGGGTATTTTCTTTGACCCTAAGCACGCTTGTAAAATAAATTTGTAATCGATAGTGGAAATCGGGTAAGTTTGGAGAAAACTGAGGTAAGTAATGAGCTTTTGCTTTTGTTAGTGATTTTTAAAAATTGTTGATGTACTTTTTAAATCTCAGTAATTTATTTGGGTCTTAAAAGATCTATTTCTGACGATACAGTACTTAGAATAGTAAAATCGGCTTAAGAATCCAAATATCGGTATGCCAAAGAATTAATCATTTTAATATACTTACATTTAAATGTATTGGGAGCTAGTCTGATAATTTGTTAACTGCTTTCAGAAATCTGAAAATTTTAAAATTAACTGCAGACAAAATCTCTGAGTTGCTTATCACTGTACTTTTTGTTAATGGGAGAATCATGCATGGAGGGAGAAGCCTCAATAGAACTGGTTTGAGCTGTCAGGCTATTTGCTGGGAATAAAATTTCCTTTTGTGTCGAAAGTCACATTTATTTGATCTTTTAGTTTGTAGTACACATTCGTAGCAGTTAGTCCTGGGCAATAGACCTATTCTGGTTTCTGAATATTTTAATTTTAAAACCTTGTCACCTGAAAACCGAACCAGGACTACCAATCCATGCTGAACTGGCAGCCTCAAATTCAGGACTGTTAATGCAGCATATTTGCTTGCTGGATTATGGGGATTAAAAGATTTCGGTCTAGGCTTTTTTCCTTTTTGCTTGTAAAATTAGAAACCAGTTTGCCAAAAGACCAGTAAGTTCAATACACTTAAGCTTTCTGGGTTTTCTTGTTTTTTAATAAATTAGTGAAGTATAAATGGTGGTAGTCGCAGTGTTCATTTAAACATTTCTATGTTAAATATTAATCATTTTGAAAAGTGATTACAGTGAATGTCTATTGCTGATTTCATGGCGGTTAGCTCTATAATATTCAGCCTGTTTCTGAGTTGTCAATCTAAGTACCAAAAAATAGGAGTGCCCATGAAGCTGTGATGTAAATACATTAAAAATTTGTAATCCCAATGGAAAGTAGTTTAGTGGGGAAAGGATTTTTTTTTCTTACTGTAATACATTAGAATCTCCACCAGAGGGAGCAATGAAGGAAGCAAATCTGATAAAAACTAAGTCCTGAAATGGTCAACTATGGGTTGTAAAGAACCAACTATTTTTATATTAAAAATGTCAGCTGAGTACTTAATGTTAAGCTCTTTGTTCTGGGATATAGGGCTGGATGCAAATTCTGGTAAGTCCTTTAACTCTTCAATGATGGGGAATAGATTTGTTCCTTTCTCCAAAAAGGTGTGGTTTTTTTTGTTTTCTTTCTCTTTTTTTTTTTTTTAAAGCTAAGTGATACTGAGTTTATACAAAATAATGTCAAGTAAATTTAAACCAAGTATGTGACTTTGAAACGTTTAGTACAGCTGACGCGATTTTTTGGTGTAACACAACTAATATACGCAGTTTAACATATGGTTTAAATTTGATGTAAGTTTTTTCTTTCCCTCCAGAAAACTTTAGAAACTGTTCCTTTGGAGAGGAAAAAGGTACTCTGCCAGCAGGTCACCTTATATTTAAGAATTTAATTTCCTGCATACAGAGAGAAAATGTAAATAAAAATTGAAATGGTCTTTTCCTTTGCAGAGAGAAAAGGAACAGTTCCGTAAACTCTTCATTGGTGGCTTGAGCTTTGAAACCACAGAAGAAAGTTTGAGGAACTACTACGAGCAATGGGGGAAACTTACAGACTGCGTGGTACGTTAAATATATAAAAGTGCTTTCACATACTAGTGCTTCAGCTGTTGGACTTCTGTATTTAAAATGATGAGTGACTCCTAGAGAAAATCACTTTAAAATCTAGGTTCTTCACTGAAAAATGCTATTTGAACAAATAACTAAACGAACTCCTTTCCCCATTGGTTTTAAAGGTAATGAGAGATCCTGCAAGCAAAAGATCAAGAGGATTTGGTTTTGTAACTTTTTCATCCATGGCTGAGGTTGATGCTGCCATGGCTGCAAGACCCCATTCAATTGATGGCAGAGTGGTTGAGCCAAAACGTGCTGTTGCAAGAGAGGTGAGCATAGTATTAACTTGGTGCAATAAATGCGAAGAAAATTTTGTCCCACTGAAGATAGAATGTAGTCTTTGAAAGAACTTGGTATCTAGCTCCATTTTTTTTTTTTTTTTTTTTTTAAGCTACGGTAGTGTGGTCCTAGAGTAGCTTATTTGCCTGTTTTTCAAAAGACTAGTTTCTTTATAAGCTATTGCTTTACCTGGTGTTTTATCATAGGGTAGAAGCCATTTATGGTACCCAGAGATGCTGTCAATGTTTGGTTTATTGTGTCATGATTTTTCCCCCCTCCTACTACTACAGGAGTCTGGAAAGCCAGGGGCTCATGTAACTGTGAAGAAGCTGTTCGTTGGTGGGATTAAAGAAGATACTGAGGAACATCATCTTAGAGATTACTTTGAGGAATATGGAAAAATTGATACCATTGAGATAATTACTGATAGGCAGTCTGGAAAGAAAAGAGGCTTTGGATTTGTTACTTTTGATGACCATGATCCTGTGGATAAGATTGTGTGTAAGTGTATAAGCACTAGATGTGTGCTTTTTCATAGATTAAATTTTGGATATGTTTTATGACTTTATTAAAAAGGTGTACTTTGTAAGTTATAATTTATAGATTGCTGATTTATTGGAGCCTGAACTTTTCCCTTCCAGTGCAGAAATATCATACCATCAATGGTCATAATGCAGAAGTAAGAAAGGCTTTGTCTAGACAAGAAATGCAGGAAGTTCAAAGTTCTAGAAGTGGAAGAGGAGGTAACTTTTAATTCTATTTTGTCTTTTAACAACGTATTTGTGTAAATGCTTGTTACTAACTAGGGCAATTATTGTAGGCAACTTTGGTTTTGGAGATTCTCGCGGTGGCGGTGGAAATTTTGGACCAGGACCAGGAAGTAACTTTAGAGGAGGGTCTGGTAAGTTTAAGTTCTAAATGTTGAAGGGTGAATGTGCTTGACTGAAAAACTATGACTCACATTTGATTAGAATCAGGAAATCTGGCCTAATTTCAAGGAGTTATTCCTAAGCTTTTAAGTAGGTGGGATATTCTCATTTGGCCAGGGGAGAGGTAGTACTTGGGACATACTCTTAAAACTAATAAAAGGACAATCAATTACAGAGATAATTTTATGGTCTTTTGATTTTTAAAAAGTTTTTAATCATGTTACCACCACCTTAAAAACAACCAAGCACACCTGAATAGTGAGTGAAAGTACCATAGAAGCTTTGCCTGTGGGCTTAAAAAGGTGTATATCTATGTTAAATTCTTTTGTTTCAGACTTCAAATATTTATCTGAATAAAATAATCAGGTGGGAACTGAAAGAATTGAGTTGAGCTCCCCATTTAATGTTATTTCTATGTTGAAATGAATCTTAAACTTGGGCTTACCAAATTCAGTCCCCCAAATTAGGCAGTTATTCTGATAGATTTAATTATATTTTGGTGTGTTTATTAAGAATAAAGCAGTAGTACTAGTGCTCAGCATAAAAGGAGATGGTTCCTAGTAATCAATCATCCACAGGTAATAATAGAGAATATGGAGGAAAGGAGGAAAAGAAACAGGATAGGTATATTAATCATAGATTATCCTTTTTCTGTCCCTAACAGATGGCTATGGAAGTGGTCGAGGATTTGGGGATGGCTATAATGGGTATGGAGGAGGACCTGGAGGTCAGTTTGTTACACATTTTGATTTATGAGACTTAAAGTTTTAATCACTGTATATGTTTGTCCAGTTTAATGTATACATGAGATTTTTCTTAGTGTATGACATTTTACCTTTTATGAAGAGCTTAGGTGATGGTGGATTAGTTATTTGGCTTTTCCTTTATAATTCACATCTTAGCTTTTGTATAGCTGAAGGGGAAGAGTATAATTGTAGCATAGGTTTCAAAAGCAATTGGGTGAATTTGAAATGAGAATTTAAAGATGCCATCATGCTATCCCGTTTTCTCAATAAGAGAGTTGGACTATACTTTATGTACTGTTTACCTGAAAAAGTATAGGACATTGGATGTGTCTTTCATCAACATGTAAGGGGAATATATGTAAACCATTTATCATCTTAGCCCTTGGTAAGATTAATTCCCCAGGATAACTTCTCAAATGTTACCAAAGGAATGTTTCCAAAATCCACAAGGGTGCTCCTGGGTCCAGATAAGGTTATGAGGCACTGTTACATATCAAGTGATAAATTAGATGTTTTGTTGGATTTTAGAAAATGTTAATACCTGTTGGCAAATGTCCTAGTAAAGACATTGAAAACTGAGCTAGTAAAAGCTTTAATTTTGCCACAGATTACACACATCTAAGTTTCACCTACATCTCACTATATCCAACTTTGTTTGGAAATACAAATTTTAATTTGGTTTTATGAGAAAGATGAGTTACAAGTAATGTGAAACTAACAGTTTGTTTTTTGGATTGCCTGTAGATTTGCTAATTTCTGATCCCCAACCCGATTTCTACTCAGGTGAAGGGTGTAGTGAACATATTAGGAAACATAAACCTGAGTTGGGAACTTTGAATCTTTTAGACCAGATAAGGGGCCAGGGGTTAGCTCTTATTTTATTAGCCTACACCTCATCTGTCCTCACAAACCTTGACACTAAATACAAAGTATCCTCAAGAGAACTCTTAATACCTTTAGTTTTAGGAAAGAGCAGTAACATAGGTATTTCTCTCTAAAAGTTTTATCCAGTTGGTTGTGGATACATACTCCCCATCCCCAAATGTTGATCAGAGATACTTTGTTCAGCCCTTGAGGCTATTCTAGAAGAGATTTCATAGAACAAATATTTTACTTGTAAAAATGTTTTGGGAAGCTGGAAATTAGGTGTGATAAGACAGTTCAAATGGCATTGAAAATATTAAGTAATTACTTAAAGGCTTATTTTATAATAGGTGGCAATTTTGGAGGTAGCCCTGGTTATGGAGGAGGAAGAGGAGGATATGGTGGTGGAGGACCTGGATATGGCAACCAGGGTGGGGGCTACGGAGGTGGTTATGACAACTATGGAGGAGGTAATTCACCTGCAACCTTTATGTGGGAATTTGGAGTGGAATTAATGACTTTTAATGACATTTCTTTCATTTCAATGTTGTCAGTAGTTGCCTTAAAAATTGTAGAATTGTAGATAGGCGTTTTGCATTTGTTCTGATTTACCTTTTTGGGGAGATTTGTCTTGAATACTTAACAAGTATCACTGTTTAATGTTTAATTGTGTTGATTCTGAGGTTCATTATGTAAAACTTGCATTGCAACTTTTTTACAGGAAATTACGGAAGTGGAAATTACAATGATTTTGGAAATTATAACCAGCAACCATCTAACTATGGTCCAATGAAGAGTGGAAATTTTGGTGGTAGCAGGAACATGGGGGGACCATATGGTGGAGGTAATTTGTTATATTGCTTAAATTAATAATGATACAAGAATAAATACTGGTTTTATATACCCACAGCTGTAAATATACTTTTGGGAAAGTAGGTTAGATATTTTGTGGGGATTTCTTTTCCTTGACTGTTTGGCAAATAAAATTGCCAAGCACACTGCAAAGTGGAATAAATTTGTATGCGTTGTCTCTGAAAGTTAACTTGGTAATCACAGGTCTTTATTCAAGTTATTCTTGAGAAAGTTTCTAGTATGACCAAATAAATTTCTTACGCTTGGTATACTTATGAAAAATCCCTTACTGGCTCCAAACGATAACCCTCTCAAAGAATAGGGTCAGTAAAATATTTTCCAAATTTAAAGGGAAAATTATGCCTATGAATCTGGATAATTTATTTCCCAAATAATTAAGATAACTAGAAGCAATGGGTTATGATTTGTTTAAAGTTTATATAGGTATAAGGTAGGATTAATAACTGTTACGCTAATTATGGGAAATCAAGTAAGTTTGCTTTGTCCTGTTCTAGGAAACTATGGTCCTGGAGGAAGTGGAGGAAGTGGGGGCTATGGAGGGAGAAGCCGATATTGAGCTTCTTCCTATTTGCCATGGGTAAGTAGCTTTTTTGAGTTTTACATTATTATTGTCTTGGGGAGACCTAGCTGTCAGGAGTAAAAGCTTTTTAGGATCATGTTATCTTTCCTTAAAATCTGGTTAGATGGATAATTTCATAACCTATTTTTTTTTTACTCTTTACTTCTGTTGAAACAGGCTTCACTGTATAAATAGGAGAGGATGAGAGCCCAGAGGTAACAGAACAGCTTCAGGTTATCGAAATAACAATGTTAAGGAAACTCTTATCTCAGTCATGCATAAGTATGCAGTGATATGGCAGAAGACACCAGAGCAGATGCAGAGAGCCATTTTGTGAATGGATTGGATTATTTAATAACATTACCTTACTGTGGAGGAAGGATTGTAAAAAAAAAAAATGCCTTTGAGACAGTTTCTTAGCTTTTTAATTGTTGTTTATTTCTAGTGGTCTTTGTAAGAGTGTAGAAGCATTCCTTCTTTGATAATGTTAAATTTGTAAGTTTCAGGTGACATGTGAAACCTTTTTTAAGATTTTTCTCAAAGTTTTGAAAAGCTATTAGCCAGGATCATGGTGTAATAAGACATAACGTTTTTCCTTTAAAAAATTTAAGTGCGTGTGTAGAGTTAAGAAGCTGTTGTACATTTATGATTTAATAAAATAATTCTAAAGGAAATTGTGTAATTATAGACTTTTTATTTTAAATAAGTTAAGGAGTGGGTAGTATAATTAAGGTCCATTGCAAAGTTGTTGTTATATTTGTGTAAGATAAATGCTGGTCAGATATAAGTGTGTTGTCTGCTGCAATTCATCAGGATTAAATTATCTAGATAACTTAAGGGATATCTCTGCAAGGAGAAACACCTTTTTAGATCTTTTAGATGCTGCTTCTTCAATGCAAGGAAAGGAAATAACCCCAGCGAGGTACTCTTCAGGGATACAGGTCTAGTACAAGAAAACTCTTTGGCGGCTACTAAGTTCAGCCAGTCTTAAAAAACTGTGCTGTTTCTACAAAGCTTTAACTACAGTAGTTTATAAGGATGCCAACGAAAGCTGAGGGTGTAGAGCAAATAGTCTAAGCTTCAGTTAAACTTCTTTAGGTAAGATCTTATTTACTTTTCCTTTCTTAATTTTCCTCCCCAAAAGATAAACTAATACTCTTCAATGGTCTTTCAGTATAGTGGTTCTTATGTAGTTTAACATAGCTATAAATTGAGTTTAACAATTTATAAACTCAAGAGAATAATTTCATAAACCCTGTTTTCCGGTCTGTCATTTACTTAAATTATTTTGGTTGTTCCCCCCCCTCC